TTTCTTTTTGCTTATGTGGTGCTGAGGAATCGAACCCAGGGCCTTGAGCATGCAAGGCAAGTGCTCTACCACTGAGCCACCTTCCCAGCCCCAGTTTGGTTGTTTTTAAATTTGAAGATCTATCTTAATTTAGGAAATTTAACTAAAACTTAGGACACTTATTTTAACCAGAGATAAAATGTTAGGAAAAAAGTTGACCCTTTTTCTATTAAGTTCTATTCCAATTTTTAAAGCCAACTTCTCAACATTATTTTCTTAAAGTATAGTTTACTCACTTTATACGTATAGCTTCAGTCTGATTAAGTGTGACCCATCATTCTAACCATGAACACAAGTTAGAAGCTCCGGAGAGAACCCTGGTACCTCTCCCTCATGCCAAAGCAACCTGATGGTGTTTTTCGAAAATGGAAAAACTCTTAAAAGAGTTTTACCATCTTGTGTGATTAACAGAACGGTAATGTGGCTATATTCTTTCTGATAGAAAAGTGACCTGCGAGAAAAATCAATATGCTAGTATGTTTCAGAAACAAACACATTATGATTCAAAACATAATGTCTTAAGTTTTGATAGATGGGTAATTTCATATCAGTTGACTCGAGGACCCATTGTTGCTTCAGTCCTTTAGTTAAAACAAGTACAAACCAGGTGCTGGTGACTCATGCTTGTAATCCTAGCTACTCAGAGGTAGAGTGTTAGCCTTGAGCAAAAGGTTCAGGGACAGTGCCTAGGCCTAGAGTTCAAGTCTCTGGATCAGTGAGAAGGAAGGAGGGAGGAAAGAAAGGAAAAAAAGAAAGCAAGCAAGAAAGAAAGAGAAAGAAAGAGAAAAGCAAATGTATCACTTACCATTGTTGAAAATGTCCCATGTGGGAAGGCCCATTTTACCCACATTGCTAGACATTGGACAGCCCTCAGGGACATAATCGTTCTATTTAGAACCTCTACTCTAATGGTTTGAGAACAAGTAGTGTCCAAAACATCCCATCCCAGAACTTGGTAGACCTGTCCCCATCCCAGATCTGCTGAGTCAGCATTGCATTTTAACAGGTCTGGGGCCCTACCAACTACATTAGCATTTTGGGGGTGTTCAAGATTGTGTTGGAGGGGGTAACAATGCCCAATAGGAAATGGACTTGTTACCTCGCTCATGTAACTGTAACCCCTCTGTACAGTATCTTTACAATCAAACTACATATTAAAAAAAATAGAACAGCAAATAGTTCTTGTTTGCTTATTTCACAGTATAATCAAAAAAGCTTTGAAATAATAAAATACTTACCATCACCAAAAAGAAGATTAGGTTGAGTTTACGTAAATAAAATGGGCACATTTTGATGCTGCCTTTTAAGTCAGAGAAGAGTCTTAGCCTTATGGCAATCATGATCACCTCTTAGGGACTGTCTATAGCTCCAGGCCAAAAAAAAAAGAAAAGAAAAGACAGCAGCCACTCAACAGGAGGCTCCTGCCTTGTGTAGAACAAGCAGAAATGGTCTTCTGTGACCCACAATGACCATGTGTCACATGAATGAGTACAATCAAGACTGAAATGTTTAACCCAGCCTTGGCCTGTGTATTCGATAATTAATGGCTCCCAGCATTCATGGGAGAGGGTTAAGTAGGGTTGTCATCCTTACTGTGAAATCCACAAATTACCACTGACTTCTGATAAATTCTGATCTCTTTTGCCATGAAACCCCATATTAAAAACCCAAGTCATGTATATTCAGACCCCTCTCTCTCCAGATTGGGCCATGAGTTTGGTTAGATGTTGCTGCCTGCTCCTGGGGTTTTTATACAAAGTCCATGGCAGGGTAGGGAGTAGAGCCTTATCCCTCCTTTGGCCTATAAACCATAATTTTAGTAGCTGTCATAGCAGCTACTAGAAAGAAACGTAGGCAGAGCACCAATGGCTTCACATAATTAGCCAATAGTGGTGTCCCCCCCAGGCTGGCAGAGGTACTACCATCCTCAGCATGTCGTTTCCAAAGTTGTCCTGGGCATCTCCACTCCAGTCAGCTAGAAGAAGAAAACAAACTTTTGCCATACCTCCAAAATGGTAAATGGCACTTCTCTCCACATGACCTCACCTGACTGTAGAGCAAGCTGGGAGTTGTAGTCCAGCATGTGCCCAGGGGAACAGACACATGAACAATTAGAACTGTTCCCAAAAGATCTCCAAAGTTTCCTCTGATATTTACATGTGTGCCTATCTATCCATGCTCCCCATGCCCAAATCAGCCAGCAATTCAAGTGTAGCTCTGTGGCTTTGTTCATGATACTGCCTTTGTTAAGCAGAATTACTGCTCAATATCTAACCATTGTTACGTGAAATAAGGGACTGTTAAATGTTGAGAGAGGGTAGGATCAGGACCACTGGGAAGTCTAAATTTCTAATTATCTTGAAACTTAGTACTCTTAAATATCAACTACAGAATCATTACTGTTTTACGAAATAAAAATGTGCTATAGTAACATGCGCTAATTTCATATGAATGTTTCTTTTTAAGTGCTGAAGAGTTCTTCCATGATTATCTAATCCTTCACATTCTTTGTGTAGATTAAATCATAAAATTGTGACTTTAATTGTACTTAACCCAGACCAGCCTCCCCATGAGTGATTGCTTTGCTTCCTTAGGGCTTGAATGCTGTGTTTGATGTCCTGGTGATTGGCAAACTCAGTGTGCTGGAAGTCATCCAGAAGGTGCTTCGTAAGGACAAGTCATTAGAGGTGAGTTACATACACACTTTTGTCTCCATCCCAGACATAGAAAATGTCAAGTACACTAATTTAACGTGCCACGTTCCAAGTATTTCTCTTGGCTTTTTAATTTTTTTTAAAGTAGCCTTTTCATGCAGTATCAAAGTCATCCAGGCAGCATTGCTGCACATGTGAACCTGTGAGTTGAAAATCCTAAGCAACAGGGGCTTCATGTGTCCTTTCAGAATATGGGTGTGCTCAAGAACGGAGGCCTCCTCTTCCGAATGACCCTTCTCACCACTGGAGGGGCTGGTGTGCTCTATGTGCGCTGGAAAATCATGGGTACTGGCCCGCCAGCATTTACCGAGGTAGACAACCCGGCCTCGTTTGCTGACAGCATGTTGGTTAGGGTAAGTACTGAGCCTGCTGTCTTCTCAAAGCTGCCACATTCCCAGCGCCTTCCTGGTCCTCCTCACCTCCGCCCCTGCCAGCCTTACAACACCCCTGATGAATGGAGACACTTAATTCCACGCTTGTTGATAGGGTAGGATGAAGCCAACTTAGGGCATCACGAGGGTTGGTGTGAGCTCCTTGGAACTTGTCTCCTGCTATGTGTGAGGAGCTGTTTTCTGGGAAGTTGGCTCCAGGGACACCAAAGTGCAGGGGTGCTCCAGTCCCTACATAAGATGGCAGAGTATTGGTGAGTCACCTGTGCACATCTTCTTGGAGCTTTAAAAAAAATCTCTCACTCATATTTAATACCTGATAAAATGCCTGCACATCATTTCATTCACATGGATGTGTGAAGTCCCTCCTCACTGCAGGATGCAAGTTACGGTTTGCCTTTTGGAACTTTCTGGAATTGTTTTTTCTAAATACATTCAACCCATGGTTGATTGGATGTGTGGTAAGTTAAATCCAGGAATACAGAATCCACAGATTCAGAGGTCTAAATATATCCTTTCTAATGAAAGTGAAAAAGTTAGTTCTGTCTCCCATCCAGTTCCCTGTCAGTCTTTGTAAAGTACCCTTGACCTCATTGTTTGTTATAGAGGAAATTATCTATTAACATGAAATGTAACAATATTGGTGGTTTCTTGAAGAGTCTTAGCAGTGTCTAGATGCTTTATTCTCTGAGGTTTGTCCCTTTTTTCCTAAAGGCTATCAAGCCATAAATTCTTAGCTACTTTTCCCTAGAGACAAATCAAGAGGACAGCCAGGGACAAGACCCTGTTCTTAACGTTATTAACAAATGGGTAACTAACCCTGAGACCTCGGATTTCCTGGGTCAGGGGCTTTCGGCATCACCACATAAATCCATTTTGTGTTGCTTGGCCAGAAAATAGAACAGACGTATTGCGTGGGGGTAATGGCCTGGCTGTATTTTTAATGTACTAAGATCTGAATGAATTGAATAAATTGCAGGCTACAAATATATAGATAGATCCAAAATATAAATGGCAACATTTTATTTTTATGCAACTGCTGTGTCCTTGAACAGAAGCCTGTGACTGCCTCACAAATGAAGTTAAGATATATGTTCTTTCAAGTTCAGTATCAAGTAAGTGTTTGTTTTCCTTTTGACTGACAGGCCATAAACTATAATTACTACTATTCATTGAATGCCTGGCTGCTGCTGTGTCCCTGGTGGCTGTGTTTTGATTGGTCAATGGGCTGCATCCCCCTCATTAAGTCCATCGGTGACTGGCGGGTAATTGCTCTAGCAGCACTCTGGCTCTGTCTAATTGGCCTAATATGCCAAGCCCTGTGCTCTGAAGACAGCCGCAAGAGAAGGTAAGAAGCAGTGAGGAATTTTAACTTCCGCCCTGGGTCAAGGCTGATGCATTTTGCTAAATCCAGCACTGATCACTGTAACGATTTTATGGACAAAAATGTCTAAGGCCATTTGTTCCAAATACATATTAATGGTAAGGATGAGTTCCCTCTGCTCCCCACCCATGGCTGACTTCAGCTTGTTGGGAGGGTGTATGGATGGCTGCTTCCTGTCCCCCGCCCCTTCCCCTGGGAAGTAGCACTCTGGGATCCCTCTCGCTGTAGGTGGTAACGAGTAATTTATGGTCAGAACAGAGAGTGTAATTTATGTGTGTTGTGCCTGTTATTTTGTAATTCTCCTTTAAAAATAAAAAGCCCAGTGAAAGCGAGGGTGATTCCTTTTGCTGCCATTGAGTACCAAATAAGTTGCCACTCCAAAGCGACTATTCTTTCTTGACAATAAAAGATTTTTTAAAGGTTATTAAGAAAATCAAGATGTATTGTACTTATAAACTGATTTGTTGAATAGTAACTCATCTGTACACCTAAAGATCGTGAAAATATAATTTATAAAAAAGAATTGGGAAAGATGAATATGTTTCATGAAAATGAAAACTCAGATGACTAATGTGAAGCACAAGCACAGAACTAGATTAGTAATGTCTCCAAATAAATAAAGGTTTTAAGATCATCTATGTCTTAAAAAATCAGTTAGTGATTCTTAAAGTACAACAGGCTTAAGTCCCGGTCAGTTCACTACATGTGAAGTGGGATTTTTGAAATGGTGTAATTACAAGAAGGAGCCACTGAATTTGACCTAGCTATTCGTCAGTCATTTCTTTGCATCAGAGGAGACATTGGGAATGATCCACTAGTTTGAGAAATGTTTCAATGTTCAATCTTCTTTTTGTTTGACTTGGTAATGTAGCAGCAAAAAAAAGAATTTTATTTTAGATTTCATAAAATCTAAATTGCTTTACTAGTCTTCCTAGAGCTATATTTTTCCATGAAAACTACATTAAATTTGGGGCCTGTCTCCCTAATGATTTAATTCCTGTATGGTTTGAGAGATGGTTAAAAAAAGATGAACACTTGGGCGCTGGTGCTCATGCCTGGAATCCTAGCTATTCAGGAGGTTGAGATCTGAGGATCCCAATTCAAAAGCCAGCCCAGATGTGAGAGTCCATGAAATTCTTATCTCCAATTAACCACCAGAAAAAAAGCAGAGTGGAGCTGTGGCTCAAAGTGGTAGAGCAAAAGGACTCAGAAACAGCACCTAGGCCCTGAGTTCAAGCTCCATAACTGACAGAAAAGAAAGGAAGGGAGGGAGAGAGGGAAGGGAGGGAGGGAAGGGAAGGGGAAGGAAGGAAGGGAGGAAGGAAGGGAGGAAGGAAGGAAGGAAGGAAGGAAGGAGAGAAGAGAAGAGAAGAGAAGAGAAGAGAAGAGAAGAACTACCAAGATGCTGGTGTAATTTATGCCCATAATCTTACCTACTTGAGAGGCTGAGAGCTAAGGATTGTGGTTCCAAGCCATCCTAAGCAGAAGTATTTCCAATTAAACAGCAAAAGCCTGAAATGAAGGTGTGATTCATCAGCCTTGAGTGGAAAAAGCTAAGGGATAGCACCCAAGCCCTGAGTTCAAGCCCCAGTACCAGCACACATACACTCACACACACACATACAGAATATGTGAATTAATAAGGCCTCACAATATAATCATTCTGATTTTGTTAACATAAATTTATGATTTGTAAGTGTTATCCTTATGCTTGATGTTAAGAGCCTTAGTCATATTTTTATGTCTTTATGTCTTATCCCATACTGCCAGCTAAACTTTCTACGGTGACATTTTTTTGCTGATGAATCTTTTTTTTTTTTTCCAATCCTGGGGCATGAACTCCGGGCCTGGACACTATCCCTGAGCTTCATTTACTCAAGGCTAGCACTCTACCATGTGAGCCACAGCGCCACTTGTGGCTTTTTCCTGTTTATATGGTACTGAGGAATCAAACTCAGGGCTTCATGCCTGCTAGGCAAGCACTCCACCCCTAAGCCACATTCCCAGCCCCTACTCAGTGCATGGCATGAAGAAAAGTCTTTATCATTACCTTAATGTTGAGTATGACATTTTTCTTGAGAAGTGTGGAAGTAGCTATTTTGATGGAGCACTTTGCCTCTTCCAGAATCCTCACCCTGGGCCTGGGATTTCTCGTGATCCCATTTCTTCCTGCAAGTAACCTGTTCTTCCGAGTGGGCTTTGTGGTTGCAGAGCGAGTCCTCTACCTCCCCAGTGCCGGGTACTGCATGCTGCTGACTTTTGGATTTGGAGCCCTTAGCAAACACAGTAAGAAAAAGGTATCAGCCTGGAGTGGTGCCACTTCCAACCAGAACACCTCCACACAGCTCACGAGTGACGCTTGCCTTGTCTCTCTGTTCTTAAGAAACTGATCGCTGCCATCGTCCTGGGCATTTTATTCACCAACATGCTGAGATGTGTGATTCGAAGTGATGAGTGGCGGAGTGAGGACCAGCTCTTCAGAAGCGCCCTGTCCGTGTGCCCCCTCAATGCTAAGGTACCTTGGCTGCCAGATTTCTTTTATGAAGATGACTAGGGGGTATTTTAAGTCCTCCTTCTGAGTAAGAAGGAAATTTATCCTTGGACAGTATCCAGAATAGGACCATGACCAAATATTTGGGTTTTTCTTTGTCGTTAGTGTTTTTTAATGATTTTAAAGCTGTATTAGAATTGCACTTAGCCAAAATAATTCTAAAGAAACCATCAAAACCATACATTATCAACAAAACAGATGACTTCTGATAACCCATCACATTTCCAGGGTAGAATTAGACAGGCACATATGTTAACCATTTAGTGTGACTTCTCAAAACCAATGCCCTGGCTATATATAATATGAAGAGCTTTATATAATATGAAGGTTCCTATACCTGAATGGACAGGAAGTTGATTCAGGAAGTTTAAACTGCTGTTCTGTTTGCTATGAGAGAGAGACAGAGACAGAGAGGGAGAGAGAGAGAGAGAGGGAGAGAGCGAATCTCCTGGAGTTCTCTGTTGTGATTCCTTTGACCAGATTAGGTGAGGTTAGATTGGCTACATTTTAAAATTGGGAGTGTTTTTGGTGAGGGCAGTCTGATAGGTATTTATTCTACTTGTATTTTTGATGAACTTAAGCTTTTAACTCAACCAGCTGTGCCTTTTGAGCTTTCAGTGTTCTTTTCTGTAAGAAGAGGATAATGTTCCTCTTCTAAGCTTGTTGTGAGGGCTGAGTGAGTACACGTGGAGCGGGGAGGTTGCTTAAGAAATGGTAGTTTTCAGAGGTGAATTTTAAATTGGGCTTCACATGAACTAGCAAGAAGGAAATTCTGTCTGCTGAAAATGGAGGCCAAGGCATGAGGTTAGGATACTTAGTATAGTTATTATCCTTAAAGGATGACACCTCTTGGGCTGTTTGAATTGGAGCTGCACCAAGATGCTTAAATATTATCCTCCTGGGCTGAGAGTAGGAGGAGTTCTGAACTTCTGTTTCATTTTTTCATTCTGTATTTTAAGCAAAAATACGTGAGTACAAATAATAAATAGTTGACATCTCACTGAGCTGACTGAAGTGAAGGATAGCTAGAAAGGTGCTAACTCTCCATTTGTTCTTTTCTTGAATTAAACTATCTTGCTCATGTTTGCAGTTTTGTGCTAATAAGAATGTGAGAAAAACAGACATAGCAAAAAGAGTGAATTACTCTGAGCTTTTGTTCTTTGATTTGTTGAGTGATCTTTTTTTTGCTACTAAAAATAAAGTACCTGGGATTTAATTTATCTTTTTTTAATTTTTATTTATTTTTTATTGTGAAAATACTGTACAGAGGGGTTACAATTGCATGGGCAAGATAATGAGTACATTTCTTATCAAGCATTGTAGCCTCCTCCTTTGTTTCCCCTTCCCATCCCTTCCCATCCTCCTATCGCCCCCCAATCCTCCCCGCCCCCCCCCACCAAAGTTGTAAAGTTCGTTTTCGACATAACAACTTGTACTTCTCATTGTTGCAACGGGTCTACCTGTATCCTTATTTAAACAACTTGTTTTTCCCCTTCCCCTCCACAAATTATACCGACATCAAATACAGTGAAAACAGGGGTTATACTGTGGGGGAGGGACATACAAAGCAACAAAGAAATAATCTTATAAATGCGTTAGAAACAATCCCATGAAAGAAAAAACATTTGAATACATATCTTAGGGTTCATTTCCCTAACGTCACCTTATCTGACCTTTTCTGCTTGACTCAGACATATACTAGATATTGCAAATAAGGGAAACCATGGGACCTATGTTTCTTTGGGCTTGGCTTACTTCACTTAATATAATTTTTTCCAAGTCTTTCCATTTCCTAACAAATGGGGCAATGCCATTCTTTCTGATGGAGGCATAGAATTCCATTGTGTATATATACCACATTTTCTTGATCCATTCATCTACTGAGGGGCATCTGGGTTGGTTCCATATCTTAGCTATGGTAAATAATGCTGCAATAAACATAGTCATGCTGGTAGCTTTAGTATGGTCTTGTTTGTGATCATTTGGGTAAATGCCCAAAAGTGGGATTGCTGGGTCCTAGGGGAGCTCTATGTGGAGTCTTTTGAGGAACCTCCATATTACTTTCCAAAGTGGTTGAACAAGTTTACACTCCCACCAACAATGAAGTAAGGTTCCCTTCTGCCCACATCCCTGGGATTTAATTTCATACTTGCAAATAGGTACACCTTTTCATTTCACTTGAATAGCAGGAATTGCCCTATCTGTTCATATCATCTCTTATAGAGCCCTATTGCTAATTTCTACTTTCCTCCTGTTATCTTCCTATTGTAGGTTTTAGACACAAGGGTGTTTGCTTTCTTTGTTCTTCTGATGGGAGAAATTGAGAAATGGAAAGATTATATTGATATTACTTAGGTGTTTGATTTGGGTGTCTAGCTGGTGCCCTGGCACCATGTAAATGAGGAGCCTGAAACGTACTTGATGCCTGTCCGTATGTAACTTCACCCAAGTAGACTGGAAGACACAGGAGGTACAAATGGGCATGCTCTGTTTCCCTTCTTAACCTAAAGCCTACATGAAGACCTCACCTTCTAACAGATCCACTGCTAATAGTCCTTTGCCCAAAAATTTTTTACAGTGATACTATTCAACCTAAGTAAGATAGGAATTGTTTTGTGTTATATTTTCCACTATAAATTGAAGTGGCATATAATTGTTTTCTTTTTGTATAAAAAAAAAAAGCTAGGTCAAAGAAGAGATCTCATTTAGGAAAACACAGCGACAGAGAACTTACTTTTTTATATAAATGTATTTTTTTATTGTGAAAATACTGTACAGAGGGGTTACAATTACATGGGCAAGATAATGAATACATTTCTTATCAAGCATTGTAGCCTTCTCCTTTGCTTTCCCTTCCCATCCCTTCGCATCCGTCTCCCCGACCCCTGCCCCCCCTACCAAAGTTGTAAAGTTCGTTTTTCGACATAACGACTTATACATCTCATTGTTGCAATGGGTCCTCCTGTATCCCTGTTTTAACAATTTGTTTTTTCCCTTCCCTTCCACATATACCAACATCATATATAGTGAAAGCAGGGGTTATACCATGGAGGAGGGACATACAAAACAACAAAGACATAATCTTAGAAATATGTTAGAAACAATCGCATGAAAGATCTGTCTCTTTTTTTTTGTCAGTCGTGGGGCTTGAGCTCTAGGCCCTGGGAGCTGTCCCTGAGCAATTCAGCTCAAGGCTCATGCTCTACCACTTGAGCCATAGCGCCACTTCTAGTTTTCTGGTGTTTTGTTTTTTTTGTGTGTGTGTGATTAAGTGATTACATAATTTCCCAAATTTCACAGTATTGTGAGATAGTGATGCTCATTAAAAGTCACAAACTCATTCTAACTTTCCTGGAGCAAATTGTCTATCACAGTCTATATAACATATAACGGTGTACACATATACACCATACATGTGATCAGCAGCATGGGGTTATTTAGTAGCGGTTCGACCAGGTGAGTGTAAGTTCTTTGTTTATTAAGTCCTGTTACTTTTGTCGTATCACCTAACATTTTGGATTTAACATCCACTTATCAAGGAGACCATGTACCGTTTGTCTCTTTGCTCTTGGCTTACCTCACTCAACATGATTTCTTCTAGCTCCATCCATTTCCCTGCAAATGCCATTATTTTGTCATTTCTAATGGCTGCATAATATTCCATTGTGTATAGATACCACAATTTTTGGATCCATTCATCTGTGGTGGGGCATCTGGGTTGTTTCCATATCCTAGCTAGAACTTACTTTCTTATACTTGTTTCCACTTGACATGCATGGACATTCAGTTAAGCAGTTGGCACTTGGCTTTAATTTAGGCCCAAATTTACAAACTGAGACTAAAATCCTTTTTTTTTTTTTTTTGAAGCTTACAATATCAATGTAGGTACTTGCTGGTCCCTGACTTTCATTGAAATTACCTACAAAGCTTTGCATATGGCAATCACTTAACCTCAGTTATTATTGAATTGGGCTAAATAGAAATTGAACTTACTGAGACTTCTATGAGTCTGAGTAAATTTGCAATCATTTTTTCATTTTCAACGCTTAAAAATGGTTTATATATTATCAGCTCTGATAGAATTCTACCAGAATTGATGGGTGGAAATCAGAATATTACATTTCAACTCTGAATAAGAAAGGTCATATACCACCATGAATACTTAAGAGGATTTTCATGTGTTTCTTTGCATGTATTCATTACTCAGTCAAGATGGTGGTTTTCATCTGATTTTTGAGTCTTGACATATGAAACACAGAGGCTGGAGGGAAAGTTGAAAAAGCAGGCTTTTCCACTCTTTCACATATACCATCAAAACAAAAACCACTCATTCTATAAACACCAATTCAAGTGACCTCATTGGGGCAGGTTCCTCCTTTGTTGTCTTTCACAACCTTGACAACTGCTTCCTGTTCATGGAATCCCCTCTCCCAGCCCATGGGGTGAGGCTGTTTACTAGCTCGTACTTGTGGATGGTCTTCCAGGGCTGGGTTAAATTTTTTATCTCATTTCACGTTAAATACTGTAGTCAGATTTCCAGAGGGCCTTCCCTGGGCTTCCAGCCGGTGTTCTAACTGAGCGTCTAACAGAACACTGCCTGTGCTGCAGAGGGCAGTTGAACTCTGTGAGCTTTTTATGGAGAAAGCAGAATTCACCAAGCACAAAGGAAAACAGCAGGGGCTTGGGGGCAGAGGCAGCTGGAGTCATGTTCACATGAAGTAGAAGCTGTGTTTGTGTTCTGGGCACCGCGAGGGCTTCCCTTGAAGGTGGCATTCTCCAGCCTTGAATTATTTTGTGCATGAGATGGGAAGAAAGTCACACTTCCAATCTGGGGTTGGAGGGAAGCACAAAGTCAAGCCGTTTATAACACACTTTACCCAATATGCTCTCTGGCATTCACTGAGCTGCCACCAGGCTATAATTTAAGGGTGAAAATGCATATGAGGGGACAATACTATGGTCCAGGAAGTTTAAATTATACTGTGTGGTATGCAGGAGTGAGTACACATTGACATCGCCTGCGATGTCTCTGCTTGTGATTTCTTTCATCAGATTAGGTAAGTACTTTAAAATGGCCAGGGTGAAAGGACCTGTTTATGTGCTTACCATTCCAGAAATACAAGCACATCTGAGGAAGAGCTAGTGTTGTAGGGTGTAATTGTCATACAGGATGTGGTTCTATTTTCAGAGGTGATTTCTGTACAGTGTTGAGGTTAAACATTCCTAGCACTAGGCACTGGTGGCTCACACCTGTAAACGTAGCTTACTCAGGAGGCTGAGATCTGAGGGCCGTTGTTCAAAGCCAGCCCAGGCAGGAAAGACTGTTGAGACTCTTAGCTCCTGTTAACCACCAGAATACTAGAAGTGGTGCTGTGTCTCAAAGTGGTAGAGTGTTAGCCTTGAGCAAAAGAGATCAAGCACAGCACTCAGGCCCTGAGTTCAGGCTCCATGAATGACACACCAAAAAAAAAATTCCTTGAATGTGGCATTTGCTGTGTTTCAGGGTATTTATTCGTTTACTCTGACTGCCATGCCAAAATGCCAGATGGTGTGGCTTAAATAACAGAAGGCTGTTCTTCAGATTTCTGGAGGCTGGAAGTCCAATGTCACAGGTTGTTTCTGCTGAGACCCCTTCCTCTGGTGTATGTACATGGCATCTCCCTGTGTCCTCATGTGGTCTTTGCCATAGGAATCCCTGACTTCTCTGTGTGTCCACATTTCCTTCTCTAAGAAGCCCAGTGCTGGACTCCAGCAGAACACACCTGTAATCCTAGCTACTCAGAAGGCTAAGATCTGAGGATTGGGTTTGAAGCTAGCCAGGGCAGGAAAGTCCTTGAGACACTTATCTCTAATTAATCACAGAAAAAGCTGCTTGGCAAGTGGTAAAGCACTAGCCTTGAGCAAAAAGGAGCTCAGGGACAGTGCCCAGGCCCAGAGTTTAAGTCCCAGGACTGGCAAGGAAAAAAAAAAAAACAAGGACACCAGTGAGATTGAATCGAGGTCCACTCATGTGACTTCATCTTACCTTAATTATCACTTGGAAGACCCTCATAATACAACAGTTGCATTATGAGCTACTGGGGCCCCAGTCTGTGAGCTTTGAGAGACATTGTTTTGGATCCATAACACATAACTAAAGATACCCTCTACCATTAGCCTGCCTTGGAGCACCTTCAAATCTTATCCAGAAAGTCTGTCCCTTAGAATACAATCCCAAACTACAAAAAGCCAAGCTGCCATTGCTAGACACACTTCCCCCATAGGCTCAGGTGCCCAGGGACACCATAAGGCAGGGATTTGCTGGGCTTTTGCTCCCATCAGGCTCCGAGCTGCTGGCAGTCACCATCCATCTACCATTACCTGAAGACTTAGGCAGCTGGAATGTGGTGTCTGGTGAAGACCCTCTTCCAGGTTTGGGGATGGCTGTCTTTTCACTGTGTTCTCACATTGCAGAAGGAAGGAGGGAGGACTTTCCCAGAGCACTAACATCACCCTCATGATCTGATCACACCACAGACTCCACACATTATTAGAAGCTAGAATTTGAACATAAGAATGCTGGAGGGACATCAACCTCCCTCCCACAAAGGGTGTAAAGCAAAATGCTTACTGTTCCATCAGAGAAACATGTCATACAGGTAAAGACCATCGTTGGGAAAAGGGGGCAGACAGAACAGTTGTTTGTTCCTCTCACAATCATGTGAGTGTGACTCTAATGGAGTGTGTAGGAGGGGAATTTAAGGCTTAGTAATAAAAAAAACAGCCTAGTTTCATGATTTTCCAGTTTTCTCTGATGGGTTCTATTATTATTTCTTCTCCCATCATACTTTAGTGATATCTCCCTGTGTGCACTCTTTTCTTACGGGTGGGGTGTTCAAATACATGCAAGCCCTAGGCTTGCAAAGTCCTATGTGGTTTTAGCAAAAGTTCTGATGGGTGATTTTTTTTAAATTCCTTTCCCATTTGTCTTCCATTAGAAGGTGTGATTGGTGTTGGGTCTCTGAACATGGAAGTTTTATGTGTCAGTGGCAAAACTGTCATCTATATTTTCAGGTTCACTACAACATTGGCAAAAACCTGGCTGATAAAGGCAACCAGACAGCAGCCATCATATATTACCGGGAAGCAGTAAGGTACTGTGCATGTTCTAACAGAAGAAATGCCACTTGGGTGTGTGTATTATTTTCATTTTCTAGGATTCCAAACCTGTCCCTTTAAAGACCCCAAGTTTGAGATATCTTTGTCAGTTCCTAAGATAACAGCCAACTTGGTTTCTCTCTCCATTTCCAGGTTAAATCCCAAGTATGTTCATGCTATGAATAATCTTGGAAATATCTTGAAAGAAAGGAATGAACTACAAGAAGCTGAAGAGCTGCTGTCTTTGGCTGTCCAAATTCAGTAAGCCTTGTTTTTATACTAATGGCAAGGACAAAGAAGTGAGCGCCTGTGTTCAGCACTATCTAACCCTTTCTTTTTCTTTTCTTTTTTAAACATGCTTCCAGGCCAGACTTCGCTGCTGCCTGGATGAACTTAGGCATCGTGCAGAACAGCCTCAAACGGTTTGAGGCTGCAGAGCAAAGTTACCGGACAGCAATTAAGCACAGGAGGAAATACCCAGATTGTTACTACAACCTTGGGAGGCTGGTAAGGATGGGTACCCTGGGCCTGCTGAAGGAAAGGCTGGGGGAAATAAAATGACAGTCTTAAAACTTAACCAGCACACTCCATTTTATAAAGTTCTTTCACATATATTTATCTCATTTGAAGGTAGCGATTTGGTTTCTTTGTGTGTAGTGTTGAAGCTCTAATTAGTGAGCAATCCAAATTGAATTAGTCAGGCTTACGAGATCACCAAGGCAATAGGTTAAACTAAGGAATAAATTTAAATGTTTTAAATCTTTTCTGCCCTGGTAAACAGTACTCCCAGGGCTAACTTCCTGATAAACGTTAGTTTCTCTGTTTTTAAAGCACAGGTTGAATAGTAACTGAGAATGTGAGGTCTGAATCTTTTCCTCTATAGGCACATTTTTCCTGAAAAAAGGACCATGTTGGAAGTCAGGGCATTTAATTAAAGGGGCTTTGCCTTTACATACTGGAAAGAGAATAATGCATCCACAACAGCTTTATATTTGGGGCCATTGATGGAATATCTATAATGATCTGGTTGCTCTCAGTTTTCTTAACAAAGAAAATAAGAAGCACAAATGGCAAAGTTCTTTAAACAGGAATAACTGTATTTTCTCCGCAGACAACTCTTCAGTTTGGTTTCAAGAAATCATTATCTATGTCCCTAATATACTTAGATTTATTAGATGAAATTATTAAAGGAAAAACTTTCAGTTCATGTAAGTCATACTAGAATAGATGCATAGTAATATTGCATTGCTTTTCTCTTTTTTTGGTCAGTCTTAGGACTTGAACTTGGAATCCCTCACTGCTTTGGCTTGTTTTGTAGGTGGGCATTCTACTCCTTAAATCATACCAGCCTGAGTACTGGGGATTGAACTCAAGGCCTCTGACTCACCCAGCTTGGTTGCTCAGCTGACCTGCTACCACTTGAGCCACACCTCCAACCCAGCTTTTTGCTAATTATTTTGGAGATGGCATCTTGTGGGCTTTTCTCCTCAGGCTGACATCAAACTGAGATCCTCCCAATCTCAGCCTCCTGAATAGCCAAGATGATAGGAGTGAGCCACTGGCCCAAGTTAGTATGGCTTTTTTCTTTTTGTAAAGATACTGTGCAGAGGGTTACAGTAACAGAAGTAAGGTAATAGGTATATTTCCTATAGAGAATTGTTACCCCCCTCCTTTGGTTTTCCCCTACCATCCCTTCCCTCCCCAACTCCTCCCCCCACCCCGAAGTTGTAAAGTTCATTTTCAACATAGTGTCTTATATGTCTCATCAGCATGGCTGATAGAACTTTCCAAACTTAACTCGGCCTCACAAGTAGAATAAAATCCTAGTGTTCTAAAAAAAAAAAAAAATAGTCTTTCTATCCTCATTTGAAATGCCTGGAAGTCTTTGTTTCATGGAGTCCTTGTATTATCAAAACCATATGTTGTTGTATAGTATAGCCTGACCTATCATAGTATCATATAAACCTACATCAGATTTAGAGAATCAGAAGCATCAGAAAATCTATTATTTTTTTAAATAGTAATAAATGCACTGTCTCTGGCTGTGCATCTGGGAAGCATTCCTGTCTAGATACTAACAGAAAGGAAGGAAGAAGATCACATCAGAGGTAAACCGTCTGTGAGGTGAGGCCAACCTGGAAAGCTTTAGCTGCTTCAAGTTTGTGAAAGACCAGGTTCCTCTCTGACATGATGTGATGATTGAATGTCTTTCCTTCCTTTTTTTTTTTCTGTGTTGGTCCTGGGGCTTGAACTCAAAGCCGGGGCTCTGTCCCTGAGCTTTTTTGTTCAAGGCTAGCTTAGGGCTCTACACTTGAGCTACAGCTCCACTTCCATATTTTTGTTTGTTGTTTGGGGGTGCTTTTTTGGGAATAAGAGTCTCGTGGACTTTCTGATCTAGGCTGGCTTTGAACTGTGATCCTCAGATCTTAGCCCCCTGGGTAATTAAGATTATAGGCATGAGCCACCAGCACCCAGCTTTGAATATCTCTGCTCTTAATATCAGTGTTTGTGGGCATAGTTGTCATGATTTTGTGAGTTGTGGAAATAGAATTCTATGAATGAAGGAAACAAGATGACAAAAGAGACACATGTTAATGAATGATGAAGACTGACTTTGCCCAAAGCCATTTAAGTGGGCATAATACTTTGTTTAAAGATTTTAAAGTAAAGTGACTTTTCATGTCTTTTTAAAAAATACAGAACATGTTTTAATTGTGAGTACTATAGGAAGATACCATCTCTGTGATTACTAAATGGGGGACAGAGAGAACAGTTATTTTCTCCTGGCCACCAATGGCAAGATTGTCAGAAGAGGTAAATGGGAAGTGGCTGGTCTCACTGAAGAAACAATTTGGGAATGGACCCACAGAGGAGGCTTCAACAGAATAGATTTGTTTCAGCAAAATCTGAATCAACAGAAGTAATCATAAAACAATTAGATCAAGTGTCTCTACTCCCCACACACACACACCTCCAGTCTTAGGCACTTTAATGGACTTGATTTAATGATTATGCTAAGATACATTCCTAACTGTGGAGTTTCCCAAGAAATTGGCAGGCATTTAAAAGAACTGGGGAATTGAGAATGATTTACCTCATAAGGTGTCCTCAAAGCTAAGAGGGCGATTTGAGGGGAGGTGCATGCAGGAAGCTGCAGGTGCAATGAGATGCAAATGAGGCCTCTGGCTCACCTGTAGAAGTGGGGAGTCCCTGCTGAGCTCAGTTCTGGGGAAGTTAGCTACTGCACCACTTGTCAACATCCCTTACTGCAGGGTGATAGTGGAGCTGGGTGCTTGGCACAGTATATGGAGATACAATGCTTCACCTGTCTGCAGCTCCTTGGTGTTTATTGTTGTTCCCTTTCAGACTTCCTATGCTTTATCAGGATGGCAGCAAGGTGACCGACCCCAGGAAACAGTGAGAGGTTTGAACAGGGAGATGGGTGGATAATATTCCATTCATTGCACTTCAGCTTTCTTTAGAGCCACTGGGCCTTGTATGCATTTCTGTTTTCTTTTGCATCTCAGAATTTTATGCCTGTGATCTCACGAAGTTAAGTAGGAGCACTGAGTGGAGGAGAGGGGCGTATGTATTAACTGAATAGATGTGCTGATGCTGCATGCTGCTGTTTCTATTTAGTGTCTATTAAACTAGTGAGCGACAGATATTAGGGTCAATGTCCCTGTGAGTTCTTCTTTTATTCCTAATTTTTTTTCCAAATGGATGTAACTGCTTTCAAGTTACTGTTTGCAGAGTGAGTGAGTCGATCTGTAGCCTTCTGCTTCAAAGCACCGCCTCAGCCTTTGCTAGTAAGCTGCCTGTCACAGCAGTTCCTGGGTTCTTGAAAATAGAGAATCTATGCTAAATGAGCCTCTTATTATAAGAGTTACAGCCAAAGAATGCAGCACAGGATGTAAACTTCAAGGAGCACAGAATGTAAACTTCCGGCTCTTATCGGGTGCCCTAGTGCTGGGATTCATTACACTTTCACTGGAGATCATCTGTAGCACGGAAGTGATGGAGACCTCGGGATGTTTACTAATTGCACTACCCTGAAATGGCGTTCCTGCCATGGCTTCCACTCACCGTCCTGCTTGCTTAAGGCTTTTACTCTCCACTGTGGTTTAATTGTCCAGCTTTTGCCCACTTGACAGCTTAAAAGCATTAAGACTTTAATCTTTAACAGCTCAACCCATCCATTTATATATTGGAAAATAAGGGGAACTTAATAACTTCAAGGTGTATTTGTTAGAAGTCTGATTTTTTTTTTGTAACAGGCAGGAGAGTTTTGTTTTGATTTCTGGATCATGATAAGAAGGGAATAATTCAGTTCTCTTGTGGAATAGGAAATTAGGAAAAGCTGGATTCTTTGGGGTCTATTGCTCATTCTAGAGAGCTTTATAATAGGGATCTGAGGTAATGCAGGAGACAGTTCGCTATGCAGGGGCTGGTTGTATCAGAACGTGCTCACAGGAAGAGAACACACAAAATATTCCAAGTACAGAAGGTTTAACACAGGATCGGTCAGGCAATCATTAGATAGTTGAAAGAAGGAAATGGAAAGGTAATAGTAGTTCAGAGACAGATAAGAAAAGGTAGGTTTGGGGGAATAAATGGGATAAAAGGGGGCTATCAGAATGGAAGAACTCAAAGCCAGGTGCTGGTGGCTCACGCCTGTAATCCTAGCTACTCAGGAAGCTGAAATCTGAGGATCATGGTTCAAAGCCAGCCCAGGCAGGAAAGTCCATGAGACTCTTATTTCCAATAAACCACTAGAAAACCAGAAGTGGCTCTGTGGCTCAAGCGGTGGAGTGTTCACCTTGAGTGAGGGATAGCTCCCAAGCCCAGAGTTTAAGCCCCATGACCGATACACACAAAAAAAGAAAAAAGGAAGAACCCAGCAGAAGCTGCTACTGAAGTCACAAAGGACAGTTCTCTATTTCCAACTTTGGATCAGGAGGCAGACATGGCCACTTCCATGGCTGCCAGGGGAAAGGAGGAGAAATTTAGAATTGGGGAAGAGGACTGCCCCTCTGATGTTTGTAACACCTATTGGCAGAAACTTAACAAGGAGCCAAATGGTCCCAGTGCCTGGAAAATATATATAGTTTTCAGATCCTCAGCTCCAGCATTCAAGAGCAGAGTGTAGAAGGATGGATAAAGGACTAATTGTGAATATCTATATCCTACCCTTCTACTTCCAGCCTGGTAGTTCTTGCTAGATCACCATTGTTCTGTCTGGTGGTTATGTTGATTGTCCTAGGTGTCAACATGAATTTGTTCAAGTGATTCACATGCCTAATGCTGAGACATCCAATAGCAAGAGATGATTCATTAAGCATCCCAAATTATTATAATATATATAAATATGTAATATATACAAGTTCAAATATTTTGAACTTTTTTTATTATTTTCTAATGATTTTAAAGAGTGAAATCTTAGAACCTCATTGTCTGACTTGTGGAAAATTCTGACAAATGGATATTTATAAATGTTTCCATGGTTCATTGTTACCAATTTTCTGTGCATCATGGAGCAAGTCAAAAGGCTTTCATTCTATAATGAAAGAGGCACTTGACACTAAGGAAGGAAATCACCTTAAGCTCTGTTCTTTGTCATTGTTTGAACTCAGTTCTGTACAGTCGAGGGCTCACGTGCTAGAGAGCATCATTCTCTTCCTCTGTGGTTTTCAGTGACTAATGCTGACTGAGAGGCAGATAATTGAGGTTCAATGAAAATTCCTCTTAAAAGAAAGCAACAAATGATTCCTTCCTGAGGGAGGCAGGTAGGTTCCAGATGGCCAGCAGGTTTTGCATGACCATATGAGTCTATTCTAAGGAGTTAACTTACAAAAGTATGCCTTTTGTTCTTGTATTTTTATATTAGGTTTAGGTGTGACAGGAGGGCACTCCTACACGATTCTTCATTCTTTACTAGGTGACTTGGACACATAAAATTCTTGTTTACTATTCTAAATAATACTTAGTGGAAAATGGACTTTATGGAGTTTCTCTAGAAAAAGAATAGTGAGCAGAGGTTTGTTGTTGTTGTTATTGGGATTTTTGTTTTGTGGAGGGAGGAGGAAGGGTTAATGGGGCTAGACAATGCCTGTAAGCTTTTTTATTTAAGGCTGGTGATCTACCACTTGGCCACAGCTTCACTTTCTGGCTTTTTGCTGGAGATAAGAGTAGGTCTTTCCTGCTTTGGCTGACTTTGAACCTTGATCCTCACTTCTCAGCCTCCTAGGTCACTAGGATTACAGGTGTGAAACCACCTCATTATTTATGTAACTCTGTACATCACCTTTACAATTAAAAAATTAATTAAATAACCTTTAAAAATGAAAAAAGAAACTACCATGGCACTGGCAGACCACCTGGTTCTAATCCTTGATCTTCACTTTCTAAATTTGTGGCTCTGAGAAAGTGGTTAATTTCTCTGTGCCTTTAGTTGCTCCATTTGTGAAATGAGGCAAACAATACCTACTTCATTGGGGTTGTTTTGAAAAGTAAATTGGTTGATAAGGAAAAATCAGAAGCTTCATGGAGGTGAGGTAGTTGTGTGTTTGGGGTGTTGGGTTGAGTTCGTTGGCGGTCTCAGAAGAAGAACAGGAGAACTGGACTATTGATTTGGGGCGTTTGTTTTCAGTATGCTGATCTGAACCGTCACGCAGACGCTCTGAATGCATGGAGAAATGCAACCGTGCTGAAGCCAGAGCACAGCCTGGCCTGGAACAACATGATCATCCTCCTGGACAACACAGGTGCAGTAGGAGGTTGGAGCGGAGGACCCGGCTCACAGCACGGCTCTGTCTATGCAGGAACTCTAGCTTAGGGTACCCTCCCCCTCACCCCAGATTTAAAAAGATAAGGTTAAATACTTGTATTACAAAATGCCTCTTCAATCATTTCCTTTGATATAAAGAAATATGAACTTGAAGGAAAATGAAATTCCACTTAATATTGACATCACATCATGGGAAGAAGTGTGTAACTGCTGCATTTATGTATGCTGAAGCTGCCATCCAGCCACACCTCCGTGCGGATCCAGAGGCCAGACCAGCTTCTGGGTTTCTGGAGCGCATGGACTCCCGGCAGGTGACACCCTCAAGTCTACACTAATTTGAGATAACGGTGCTAATGACTTGAGATCACATTTCTTAGCCTACAGTGAGCTAGAGCCAACAAAGAAGGAGTTGTTCTGCTCTTCTTGGTTTTTTTTTTTTTTTTTTTTTATGGTGCTGGTGATCCATCAGTGCCAGGGCCTTGCCAGGGCCTTGCACTTACTAGGCAAATGCTCTACCACTGAAATACATCCCAAGTACTCCGCTTTAAAGAAAAAAGCCAGACATCCTTTAAGAAATGATGGACTAGGTGCAGTGGTCCATGCCAGTAATCATTGCCCCCTAGGAGGCTGAGATCTGAGGATCACAGTTCAAAGCCAGCCCTGCGTAAAGTCTGTAAGACTCTTATCTCCAGTTAACTGCCAAAAAAAGCCAGAAATGGAGATGTGGTTCAAATGGTAGAGCACCAGCCTTGATTTAAAAAAGAGACAGTGCCCAGGCCCTGAGTTCAAGCCCTAGTACTGTTTCAAAAAAAATGGAGTTGATTTGGCAGAATTTAAAGCTAACAAGCTATCTAAACAGTGTAGGAAAAGATAATTATTTCTAAGAAACATACAGAACATGTACTTCCACATGAAAAACATTCAGAAGTTAGTATTACTGCGCTCCTGTTATTTTGCAGACTTGTTTTCTTCTGGAGTCTGGAGAAAATGAAAACTTGGTTTCATGTGGTTTTACTGAATTTAATCAAAAGTTGTTTGTATATTGTGTCAGAATTGTGCTGACTTGCAGCGATTCTACCACACAAGGTTTCACACATTTTACATGGATTTTTCTTAAGTAGTTTATTCCTAATCATAATGCATGTGAGCCCTGTTAATTATAGAAAAAGAAAAAAAAAACACAAGTATAACACGAACATTTTTCTCCTTTTTTTTCCCTCCTAGGTAATTTAGCTCAAGCAGAAGCTGTTGGAAGAGAGGCCCTGGAATTAATACCTAACGATCATGCTCTTATGTTCTCCTTGGCAAACGTGCTGGGGAAATCCCAGAAATACAAGGTGCGTGGACTCCAGGCTGACGGGAGCCATCAGCGTTCCTTCTGCCCAGTTGAATTCAGAATTGGGCCAGAATCAGGGCAACAGTGCTAAGGCACTGGCCGTGCTCTCCAGAGAAGTTGCCCAAAAGATGCACTCTGAGGTTGCAGGTCAGACCCAAGGCCTAAGGGAGTAAGTGATCAATACCATCACGGATGTCTAGTCTCTCTGTTCATAAGTCTTTGTTGGTATAATTCTCTGTGAGAGAAAGACACGGCATATGTTTGTGCCTGCTTAAAACAGATTGTCAGGGAATTTAGTAACTTCCCTGTACATTTTTAGCATTTTCTTGCTTTTGCTCCAGAGATGGCTTTTGGAAGTGCTCAGTGTTATTTTATTTGGATCTCCCTGAGCTGAGGGAAGTTTTGGGGGTTTCTTCCTAAAGACCCTCGCGCCACGGTGGCCCATGCCAGTCGGGTCTCCCTTGCTTCAGGGTGCAGCTTCTAGAACCAGGTACTGACTTTTCTCCCACACCACGTTCTATGACACAGCAGAACCCAGGACTTGCCCGGCTTCCACTCCACAGCATGGCTTCTTCCTCTGATGGGACAGAAAACACTCCATGAGTCAGCGTGCAGTCAGCTCCTCTCTGTGCGGGGTGGATTTTTTTTTTCAAATTTTTATAAAACACAATTTATTCCTGAACATTTATTCTAGAAAGTTTTGAAGAAAAAATTTAGTAGAGTGATTTTAAACCATTAATTGTAAAACAGGTTTGGCTTTTTAAGCTGGTTTTTTAATTCTCACGTAAAGGTGATGTGGAGAAGAGTTATGGAGACGCACGTCAGCGGCCGGGGCCGAGACCCATTCGGGGCCTGGTCCAACATGTCACGTGTGTCTAAGATACTTCACAAAACAAAGTATTACCTAAACTTCCTGTAGGTGGAAAATGCATGTGCAGAAAAGGCATCACACTCGGGGGGCCACACTACTGTGTCCTGCCCATACTCGCTCACCCCCAGGCCCTCTCACACCCCCAAACCTGCTCACTCCCCTAAACTCTTGTTTCCCCACCCAGACCTTTCTTCTTCCACCCTCACAACCCAAGGTGTGCATCACACCCTCCCACTCCATTCCTGCACCCTCACCCACCCAAGGACGGTGGCCATGGGCAGGGGATGGTCAGATCAATGCATAATGGAAGTGTCAAGAATCATTTGGGGCCTGTGGCTCACGCCCATAATCCTACCTGCTCAGGAGGCTGAGATCTGAGAATCACAGTTCAAAGCCAGTCCAGGCAGGAAAGTGTGTGAGACTCTTATCTCCAATAAACCACCAGAAAACCGGAAGTGGCACTGTGGCTCAAGTGGTAGAGTGCTCGCCTTGAGCTGAAGAGCTGAGGGACAGCTCCCAAGCCCAGAGTTCAGGCTCAGCCCTCCCCCTTCCCCCGACTGACAAACAAAACAAGGGTCATTTGGACGCTGCAGATGGTGGTGGTCTACACCACAGGCCTGGCAGAGGCCACGGCTGCAAAGCCCTGTGCGTGGGGTTGCATCTGCCCCAGCTGCTGCCCCAGGTCGTGGAGGCCAAGGCTGAAGGCACCGGCCCAACCCCAGCTCCCTCTTCCCATCCCCCACACCCTGTGCTCCACTTGCTCAAAACCTCCGTCCTGGGGTGTAGGCCGAGCCACGCGTTTCCAGCCCTTCCTGGTGGCTAGTGCACGTGTCCAGCCTGCCCTGGTAGCCAGCATGTGTGTCCAGCCCTCCCCAGTGGTCAGTGTGGGTGTCTAGCCCTCCCTGGTGGCCAGTGTGCGTGTCCAACCCTCCAGCAGACAAGAGTTCAGTGACCCAAAAGCAAGAATGTGAAGCGCAGGAAAGGCGCAGGCCTCGTACAACCATCGCTTTTGCTTCTTGTTCATGTTCTTTCTGCCATATATGTCTCTTTTTGTCTTTTAGGAATCTGAAGCTCTGTTCCTCAAGGCAATCAAGGCAAATCCTAACACTGCGAGTTACCATGGTAATTTGGGTAAGGAAAGTTTTCCATGTGACTGTCATGGGCTGTGTGTCACCGGAAGGAAGTGGGCACACTTGTGTGCCTTCAGTGTGGGGAGAGGAAGCCTAGAAACAACACTGAGTTCTCCTGTGTTACCCAGTTATAGACTGTGGTTGTGTTCTTGACACCTGGAAGATGGTGAGACGATAGTTACGTTTATACACTGTCATTTCCTGAGCAGGACAACTCCAGCCCCACCCCCTGAATGTGTCAGAACTCAGACCCAGTGATGTTAAGCTGAGAGGTACTTTGCAAGTTTCTCATCTATCTCCTGCTCCTTACTTCCAGAGCTGTCTCTTTCTTATGCAGCCCTGGCTTACTTATCCGGAGGTGAAAGGCACATTTGTCATTGTGTTCCCCAGAGTTCCTTTCTTTCACTCATAACTTCAGAATTAGGATCCTCTGAATTCTGTAAATCTAACTCGCTAGTAACTACAATATTGTCCTGGCTTATTTTTTCTAGGCAAGCGCTCTGTCATCTGAGCCCTGGTACTTTTTTTTTCCCTAGTTTGTTATTAACATAAGGTTTTACTCTGGGGCCTGGCTGGTTCCCAGCCTTCAGTCCTCCTTTCTCTGCTTTCTGGCTTGCCCAACATTTGTCACCATTCACCCAGAAACCCTCATCACAAAATTCAACGAAAGCATCCATATTTGTTCTCCAGTCCAGATACACAGTTAGTTTTCTTACAAAATCTTTGTGACCATCAGGCTTACCATACAGGGAATTACGTTTGTTTTAACCATCATGCTATGGTCAGATCTTGTTAGAACCATTATTCCCAACTGGCAACACACAAGCTATTACTGTGCCAGAAGGTAGAGCATAGGGAAGTCTTTATTTAAAATAAAAAGCTGGCTCCTTTTCTTTAGAAATAGGGTGAAAGGCCAGACTTCTGGGTAGCCAGAGCTCTCTCATAGCAGAACCCAAAGCCCCACCCCACCCACCCACCTGCCTGCCTGGCCCTGAGACTTCGATGCACTCTTGCTTTTACTCCCTTCTGTAACAAGTTGCCCAAAGCAGAGATGTTCCCCTAGTATTAGGAAGCCCTGGGCATGAGGGGCAAGAACCCCCAGGGCGCGTGACTACAATAAAGTCGACTGGTACAGACAATATTTTTTTAAGCAATGATATGTGAAAACTCTTTGTAAAGGTCCTGTCACAGTTCTTTGTACAAGTTATTCAGAAGCACCTCCAGTGAGATCCATTGTCTGCCGTTTCAGCTGTGCTGTATCACCGCTGGGGACATCTCCACTCGGCCAAGAAACACTATGAAATCTCCTTGCAGCTTGACCCCTCGGCCGCAGGCACCAGGGAGAATTACAGTCTGCTACGAAGAAAGCTAGAACAAATGCAGAAGAAGGATGTCTGATCTTTTTCTTTTGTGTTTTGAGTTTCTGCATGCATGAAGCATATCGGTTATGTGGTTATGTTTAACCATTTAAGATTCTCAGACATGTTTATTTTACTCTTTTTTTATAAAAACAAAGATATGCAAAAAAAAAAAGATTTTAGCACCAGCAATATACTCTTGAATGCTTGATAACGGTTTTTGCATCAAAATGGTATTTTTTCAGACAACTCAAATTAATTCTAAAATCCCAAAAATGAAAGCTTTTTTTAACTAAATGGAAAACGAGAAAAAAAATTACCTTGAGTAACTCTGACTATCCTTAAGCCTGCATTTGGGATGTGAACTTTGTGACCAGGAGGTGACAGATGCCTGCAACCTATGTAAATAGCAAATGTGTCTGTATATTAGCATATTTATTTACTGACAAGAAAGAGTAAAATGTTTGGTTTTTAATCTCTTTTCACACCAGTGTACCAGGTACTCTGTTTATAAGGAAATATTTATTTGTATTTTTATGTGTTGAGTAGGGCAGATAATTGAATCAGAAATTGAAATTTTTTGGGGGGGGTCCAGTCATGGGGCCTGAACTCTGGGCCTGGGCACTGTCCCTCAGCTCTTCAGCTCAAGGCTAGCACTCTAGCACTTGAGCCACAGCACCATTTCCGGCTTTTTTTCTTTTTGCTTATGTGATGCTGAGGAATTGAACCCAGGGCCTCAGGCATGCAAGGCAAGTACTCTACCACTAAGCCACCTTCCCAGCCCCAGAAATTGAAATTTTTTTGACACCTGGTGTATCTCTTCACTTTTTCTTCCATGGGAGGAAAGAGACTTTTGTAAGTTTTTTTGAATGTGTTCTACTCTTACAGTTTCATAACATAGGTAATGATAGAATGTTCCGTCGATGCCTGGATGAGCATGGGCATTTCTCTTACACCCTTGCTACACTCATCTGTATGTGTTGTGTTTTCTTTGACTGTGAATCTGTCACCCATTTTCCTAAATGGAACTACTCACAGCTGTCCATCCAGGAAAGGTGAGAGGTGAATTTTCTCTCAGAACATGTCATATTTTGGGACTTGGAGGTATTTTTAAGAATTGGGTTGGTTTTTCTTTTTTTTTTCCCAGTTGGATTTGGTTCAATAATTGTATCTACCTGTTTGGTTTGGTTTTCCCCTATATGCTGTTGACGTATGCAATGTCTACGATTTCTTATGTAGTAAAAGTATTGTACAAACTGCCTTGACAATGTCACATTGCTTCCTAATGGCTGTTGTTCACGACAGTGGAGGTTTTATCCCCCTTCCCCTCAGTGTCTGGAGTGACCACGAAGGCTCTTTCCCGGGTTGAGGGGTCCGTTCTGTAGGAGTGCAGAGGGAAGTTGGACTCTCCGCCCCCCCCTTGGGAGCACAGTGTGCGGCTGTAAATCCATTGCTGTGACTTGTAGTCATTGAAACACATCAGAAAAGAATGTGCTGTGCTCCCAGCATTGCTTCGGTGGTCTCAAGCCACAGCAGTGATTTATGAATCTCTTCAGGAATAGAGGCTGGCTGCTCACCTCCCTGCAGGCCTTAGCTCCACAGATAATACATGTACTGTAGTCTGGGTTGGATTTTTTTTTTTAAGGAAATGTCTCTTTTTTAATAGCACTTGTTTTTTGAAAGTAAGGGAAAAATACTTCTTCTAGAAGTTAGGATCTTTTTTTTTTTTTTCTCCCCAAGCTCAGTCCCCGGCACCATGCATGCAGCATGCAGGGTGCAGACAGAGACCGCGAAGGCAGAGGCGCCCAGAGGGACGCTGCCAGGGCCACAGGAACCGACTGTACAGAACAGCAACACGTGCAAAGGCCCAGTGGTGGGGACGCCAGGGGTCCATGTGCACGGGCGGGCGGGTGTTCAGCACAGGGCGGCTGACCAGGGTCCACAGCCGTGGCAGAGGCCGGGGGAGGCCCGGCGGGGACCGGGCCAGATTGCTTCCAAAAACGTTCCCAGTCCCATCCATGACCAGCTATTCACCAAAGCCCAGGGAGGAGCCCCACAGTGTATCCTGTCTTTGCGGAATGCACAAGTGACCGGCAAAAACAAACCAGCTCTTCCCAGCCGTGTGACGGCTTAGAAAACTTGATAGACTTTTCTGGAAAGATTCCGCGGATCATTCGGGGGGAGAAAAGGTCTATGCCTGCTTCAAAAAAAAAGAAAACCCCGACAGCAGCCCGCATCACCTTAACACTAACTTCAGATGAAATGCGGGTGAGCTTAGATTCGCAGGGTCGTCTTGCTCCTCTCATTAATTTATCTGCTGCGCTGTTTGCCAGCGAGACCAGTTGTTCCAAGTAAGCTCATGGACAGAAGGAAAGAAGAGCCCTGCTGTCCTTGAACATCAGAACTTGAAGTAAAGCACCAGCAGCTTATGCCTCTAACCCCAGCCACCCAGAAGGCTGAGATCCAGCAGACTGAGGTTCCAGTGTAGCTCAGGCAGAAAGTCCATGGGATGGCCTGTAGCCAGAACAACCAGGAAAAGGCCTGGGTCCGGGGGTAGAGAGGCAGCAGAGGAAGAAGCCTGAAGAGTTCAAACCCCAGTGCCACAAAGCAAAAAAGAGAAACAGAAGAGGAATCCCGGGATTTTCAGAACACATACTATGCGCATTTCACACACACATTTTTTCTAAGTTCACCTAATTAATGGAGTCTCTTGAAACTGTAGAGTCCTCTTATCAGGGCCAGAGAGGCCTCCAAAAGGGAGGTGGCCTCTTCTCCACCCTGACATACTAGGTTTGCAATGTAGTCTCTCTCTCTCTGTTTCTCTCATACACACACACACACACACACACACACACTTTTAGAACTTTAGGAAAGTGCAGTGCACACCCCGATCTGGGAGCAGGCACATCTCAAAGACGATAGTCACACTAATGTTTGGCCCTCAGAGGTATTTCTGGTAAAGAAGCGGGTGGGGTTTGGGTTAAAAGTTGGGTACGGATGCGTGTTCTCCTTTGTCGCGCTATGTTCTATCATTCTTGCGGTTACAGTCTTGGCATTACCTGTTGGGCTCAGAGAAATCAAGTCCACTTGGCTTACTAAATGTGGGTCACTGATGACACAGATGTCTGTTTTCCTTGAGCATCCCTAGACACAGAAGAGAAGTTCCAGCAGATGTTCCTTTCAATACAGGTATTCTTCCTGGAATAACTTCCCTTGGCACATACTTCTGTGGTCCAAGGAGTCATTTTCCACAAAATTGTTGTTCCCAGGATGTGTCTTGCCCTCATATTTTCTAGCTCAATATCCAGAGCACAATAATAGCTGGGCAAAGAGAGCCCGACCAGCCAGAGGGAGAGAGCTCCTTTTTTTTTCTCCTTTTTCCTATGGCAGCTTTTTTGTTTGCTTCTTTCTATTGATTAAAGCAAACAGTCCCTGTTTACTTTTAGCCAAGCTATTCACTAATGTGTACCTACACATCCCTTAACTCCTGTTTCCCACGTGTTACTTTCCTTGAGTTCATCTTCATTTGCATATTATGGAGAAGGACCCTAAAGTGAACTGGATGAAGTAACTATTACTGAACGCCAACCCTGTGTTTGGAATATACACACGCAGGACCGGGCCCGGGCTCCTGGCAGTCGGCTGCGGACCGTGCTGTCCGGCCCCTGCTCCGGAAGGGAGGCGAAGGCCTCGCCATAAGGCTGGATCAAGGGACTTCGGGTGCACGGAGGCCGAACTGTTTCGGTCATAGGAGAAGTAAGACGGACCTCGGCCTGTCCTGGGAAAGGTCATTTCTGGACGGGCCATGCGCTGTTCCTCAGTTCTGCTGCTCTTGTGGGCAGACAGCCCTGGGCAGCGGGGGACAGACAGACGGAGGGGGCTGGGTGACACTGGCATTGGAGCTTTCTCTTTTTACCTTTTCTTTCTTTTCATTGCCAGGCATTTAGAAGGTAAAACTCAAGCAACAAACAGGTGGCTCAAGCCTACTTGGTCAGCTTGGATCAGGGTTCAAATCCAGCCCCCGACGTCCCAGGTCCTGCTCCCCTCCCCAAATGACGGAGTCTCTAGAGGACTCTGCATCTTGGGCTCTCATGCCTCCGCTTCCCGGGGTTCACGATCGGCCCCGGGGCTCAGGATCGGTCCCGGCGCCGGGCCGAGTTGTCTGCTGGGTGGGGCTGGGGGGGATCAGACTGTGGGGTGGGTGCTGCTTTGCGTCTGCGCGAGTGACCGTGCGGTGGTGCGTGTGCACCGGGTCGCTGGCGGGATGGGACCGGAGCCAGGGCCCCACCGAGGTGCCATCGCGCTGCCATGTCACGTTTCACCCACAGGGGTCGCCTTCAGGCTGCAATGCCATGCGTCGCCTGCAGGGGATGACAGGCAGGGCGTGTCACGGCGGGGTGTGCAGTGTCTCACTCCGCCTGCAGGGGGCACATGGGATGCTGTTTGTGTTCTACCTGCGGGGGGCAGGGGAGGTGCCCTTAGGCTGTAGTAACTCATGTGGCCTACAGGAAACGCTGTTTACTGTAGTGCCGCGACTGACCTGCAGGGGTCGCCTTTGGGTTTGCTGTTCCATGTCCTACCTGTAGGAGGGGCGGGGGCCATCACGGCGGTTGCAATGTCGCACCCCGCCTGCAGGCGGCGCCGTTGTGTTGTAGCGCCTGGGGCACCCGACGCTGCGTCCCGCCTGCAGGGGGCGCCGCCGGGGGCGGCCGAGG